ATAGATAGATAGATAGATAGATAGATAGATAGATAGATAGATAGATAGATAGAGATAGATGAAAAATTTAGCTAATGGCAGAATCCAATAGCCCAAAATTCAAACTAAACCAAACACAATAAACTACCCATTAAAAGCTGATTCAAAAGAGCCTCAAGAATCAGTGTTCTATAATTTTTTAAAGCCTAACTCTAATGAATATTTTTAAAAGACTAATTAAAAGAAAAATACCTGTGTTAAAAACAAATAGAAGATTTTGTCTCTACAAAGGACAGGATGTGAAGCGACCCTCAAGAGAAAGTTTTCTAAGCCTATCCGTCGTCTCTCCACGAAGTCTGGATCCATGTTGTCCGCAGAGAGTTTATGCCACACGAACTCTGCCTGGGTAAACAAAGCAAGCATTAGGAACAGGCTCAACCACAGCTAAGTATAGCTCTTACCCTGTCTTAGTGAGGATTACTACTGCTGTGAACAAGCGCCATAAGCAAAGCAACTTGGAGAGCAAAGAGTTTGTCTTGCACTTCTAAATCACTCCTCATCATCAGAGGAAGTCAAAACAGGAAATCAAGCATGAGGGAAACCTGGAGTCAGGAGCTGATGCAGAGGCCATGGAGGGGTGCTGCTTACTGGCTTGCTCCTCATGGCTTGCTCAGCCTGCTTTCTTATAGAACCAGGACCAGCAGCTCAGGGAGGGCACCACCCACATCTCTACCCCACAATCACTAATTAAAATGTCCCACAGGCTTACAGCTTGATCTTATAGAAACATTTCTCAGTTGAGGTTCCCTCCTGAGATTACCCTAGCTGTGTCAAATGAATATAAAACTAGGCAGCACATCCTCATGAAAGAAACTTCTCTTTACAACAGAAGGAGAAAACCACAATGGATTAAAATGCAGAGAACAAGTGACCCGGTGGTGCCTAAGGCCCAGGGACATCTAAAAAAAACAGAGAAACAGGGAAGGTGCTGTGAGATTGCACCTCCTGGGAATGACAGGGAAGCCTCACCTATGACCCTGACTGCCCAAACAAGACCAGAAGAAGGACAACACTAATACAGGCTAGCACAGAAAGCGAAATCTTATGGAGGCTCAACCCTAGATAAAGAACTGTGGGCAACTGAGGAATGCTAAAAATGGGAGAAACAGTTTTTCCCATGGAAGAGCCTAATTGTTATCCAGTACCAAACGGTCAGTCTTGAAATCATACACATACAGACTGAGCATGTTGTATTTACATATTTAGGAGCGCGTGTGCTGAGTCACACACACACACACACACACACACACACACACACACACACACACACGGGCGAGGCAGAGGCAGATCTCTGTGAGTTCGAGGCCAGCCTGGTCAACTGATCGAGTTCCAGGACAGTCAGGGCTACACAGAGACCCTGTCTCAGAAAAACAAACAAAAGCAAACAAATAAGTGACCGGGCTCCCGAGAGGCACTTGCCAACTCCACTGCTCCGCCTCACCCGCTTCTCAGGAAGAGGCGGCACAACAGCGTGCGGGTAGCACACCAGAAGGTAGTTCCTCAACAGCTCGAACTCGCTGTACCGCCTCCACAGTGAGTCTGTGAGGACGCTCTGCCCATCAGCGTGCTCCACTGACCTGAAAAGCAAGCAGAACAGTCTATTCTTAAAACCTCCTTCAAAAGCAGCCACACAGCACCAAAGTTTTCATGTCTTCTTATTTAATCTTACAACCCAGGGAACCTCACATTCCATCTACATAAAGACCAAACTACAGTTGGGAGAAAATCAGAGTAAAAGCAAGTATTTTAAGGATATTTTAAGGGACTAAAGATTTCTGCTGCCATCAAGAATACAGGGGTTTTGTTGTTGTTTTCAAGGTGGGTGTCTTGCTATCTGGTTCTGACTGGCCTGGAACTTCCTGTCTAGACCAGGCTGGCATGGAATTCAGAGACCCACCTGCTTCAGCCTCATTAAGTGCAAAGATAAAAGAATTCCTACCCTGGCCAGCTGAAGAAGCATTTGAAACATTAAGACCTTCTTGTTTCTCAATTAGTCACTTGACAGTAACTTATTCCCCTCTAAAAATTGCACATACAATCACAATATGCATTTATCCACTAGGACACAATGACAAAGAAGCAAAATCAGCCTTGAAAAGTCACTTGAAAAGTGTTTCTTTGGGCTGGAGTGATGGCTCAGTGGTTAAGAGCACTGGCTGCTCTTCCAGAGGTCCTAAGTTCAATTCCCAGCAACCACATGGTGGCTCACAGCCATCTATAATGAGATCTGGTGCCCTCTTCTGACATGCAGATGTACATGAAAACAGAACATTGCATGCATAATAAATAAATCTTTAAAAGAAATAAGAAGTGTCTCTGTCAGGTGCAGTGGGGCAGGGGCAGGCCTATAATCCCAGCACTCAAGGAGGCAGAGGCAGGCGGATCTCTGTGAGTTCAAGGCCAGTCTGGTCTACAAAGTGAGTCCAGGACAGCCAAGTCTATGTGAAGAAACACTGTCTCAAAAAAACCAAAGAGGGGAAAAAGTGTCTCCTTTTTTCTTTTTGTGTTTTTCAAGACAGGATTTTTCTGTGTAGCCTTGGTTGTCCCGGACTCCCTTTATAGAGCAGGCTGGCCTTGAACTCACAGAGATCCGCCTGCCTCTGCCTCCCAGAGTACTGGGATTAAAGGGGTGTGCCACCGAGCCTGCTTCATTATTATTGTCTTGAGACAGCTTTTACTATATAGCCCAGGCTGCCCTTAAACTCCTGATCTACCTGCTCCTAGTGCTGGTATTACAGGTGTGCACTACCAGGCCCTACATGTAAGTAGGAAATACACATACGGCTGGGCATGGTGGCACAGATGAAAACACAGGAGGTGGGTCTCTGTGAGTGCAGGCCAGCCTGGTTTACATAGCAAGTTCCAAGGCACCCAGGGCTGCATAGAGACCCCGCCTCAAAAACAACAAATAAAGAAAACAAATATATTAAGCTTACCACTAATCCTATTAATTACATATTACTAAAAGGAAAATACAATGAAATATAAAACACAAATGGCTCCCATTGTAAAAACTCATGAATATTAGATCATAGTTTAGAAAGACATTAATCTACATAGGGGCAACCAGAGAAGGTGGCTCAACAGTTATAAAAATACTTGATGCTCTCATGATGTCCTCTTCTGTTCTCTGTGTGTACTTACACTCATATGCATGTACAAGCAGAGACACATAAAAATAAAATCTTTAACAAATAAAAACTAAAGAAGAAAGGCATTTATCACCGACATCTAAAAATGACTTCAGTTCAGATTCCCCAACTTCAACTTGAAACAGTTCATTTTATCCTAACTTATAAGCAAATGTTATCATTGGCCTTGTCTTCCAAATTAGAAGAATCTAATAATGGCATGCTGCTTCCCAAGACACTGAAGCATTTCCTACATGTTCTGAAAGGCAAATTCCCATAATTTTATCTTGAAACAATGTCCCATCCCAAGAGCACACACCCCAAGCTTCTCAAGAAATTTAAAGTTATTCAACCTCACTCTATTGAGCTGTTAGCCCACAGGCAACAGCTACCAGAGAACCCGTTCCTCCTAAAGTGAAGCCCGTCCTAGCAACCCACCGTGTCTCAATGAGGTAAGCAGTGTACGTTTCTTGCATGTTCACAGCGTTTCTTCCAGTTCTCTTCTCTGCTTCTGAAACACTGATTTCTATTTTCTTCAACCAAAAATTATTTCCCGTCATCTGGACAAAAACAAATAGAACAATAAATGACCTTTACGATAGTACTTACAGATGAGGATAATGCAGAGTGAATATGATCAAAGGATACTATATTCATGCATGACAATATAACAAGTCCATTATTTTATGCGAATAATATATGGTAGTGAAAACAGTATTTGAAAGCCCATAGCCTGCTGGGTGCAGTGGCACAACCTTTAATCCCAGCACTCAGGGAGGCAGAGGCAGGCAGGCAGATCACTGTGAGTTCAAGGTCAGCCTGGTCTACAATGTGAGTCCAAGACAGTCAAGGCTACAGAGAGAAACCCTGTCTCAAAAAAAAGAAAAGAAAAAAAAAAAAAAAAAAAAAAAAAAAAAAAAAAAAAAAAAAAAAAAAGAAAAGAAAAGGCACAGCCACACTAATAAAACCCAGTACTGATAAATATTTCAAGATGGTTTGTGGGCTGGGACAATAGCTCAATGGGTAAAGTGCTTGCCATCAAGCACAGGCATCAAGACTTGAGTTTGGATCCCCAAGTCTCATGAAATAGCGGGATGAGGCAGCACATATCTGTAACTCCAGTGCTCCTTCTATGATCCAACAGGAAACAGTGACAGGAGAAATCCCAATAGCTCATGGGCCAACTAGCCTGACCTATGCAATAGAACTATCTCAAACCAGTAGGAGAGATGGCCACCTCCACACACATGCACCACACAAACAAATAGAAATATATTTTTTGATTAGTTATGGGTTATTAAATGACAACAGCAAGAGGCAACCTCTCTTTATCAACATACTGTAGTACATCACCTTCTTGAGGGGTATTTTAATAGGTACCAAACATTTAATCATTACAATTCTGACATTTCCTGTAAGCAACCAAGAATAAATCTATACAGGAATGTCCAAGAAAAAGCCTTTGGGGCTGGAGAGATGGCTCAGTGGTTAAGAGCACTGTCTACTCTTCCAGAAGTTCTGAGTTCAATTGCCAGCAACCACATGGTGGCTCACAACCATCTCTACTGGGATATGATTCCCTCTCTTCTGTCATGCAAGTGACCTACAGATAGAATACTCATATATATAAAATAAATAAATAATTCTTTTAAAAAAAGTCTTTAGATGGGGTGCAGCTAAGTGGTAGAACCCTGCCTACTAAGGGTGAGGCTCCAAGTTCAAGTCTCATCACAATAAAAGCAAAATCTTTAGGCTGTATTACAAACAGGATTCTGGGAAGACTATCCAGTAGATTATCAAGTGCCAAATATCTGCTAACCCATCTAGACAATAAATGCGCAGATTCTGTCTATAAGAATACTTGCAGGGGTTGGAAATTTGGCTCATCGGTGGAACCCTTGTCTAGCAAGCACAAGGCTCTGGGTTCCACCCTGTCTTAGGGTTACTACTGCTGTGATGTCAAAACGCATGTTGAGGAGGAAAAGGTTTATTTTGCTTACACTTCCATATCAGTTCATCAAAGACAGTCAGGTTAGGAACTCAAACAGGGAAGAAACACGGAGGCAGGAGCTGATGAAGAGGCCATAGAGAATTACTGGCTTGCTCCCCATGGCTTGCTCAGTCTGCTTTCTCATGGAACTCAGGACCACAGCTCAGGGATGGTGCCATCCACAAGAGACTGGACCCTCTCACATCAATCACTAAGAAAATGCCCTACAGGTTTGCCTACAGCCCAATCCTCTGGTGGCATTTCCTCAACTGAAGTTTCTTTCTTCTGAAATAACTGTAGCTTGCTTCAAATTCAAAACTAGCAATCACATAACCTCAACTAAAAAAAAAAAAAAAAAAAAAAAAAAAGAAGCTACAAAACAAACAAAATCTTCACAATGTGTTAGAGATAGAGAGATGGCTCAGTGGTTAAGAGCATTGTCTGCTCTTCCAAAGGACCCAGGTTCAATTCCCAACATTCACATGGCAGCTTACCAACTGTCTGTAATTCTAGTTCCAAGGGATTCTGACACTCTAATACAATAATCCACATAAAATAAATTACATATATTACACAATGCCAGGCGGTAATGGTACATACCTTTAATCCCAGCATTCAAGAGGCAAAGGCAGGCAGATCTCTGCGTTTAATGTCAGCCTGGTAGACAGAGTGAGTTCTAAGACAGCTAGGATTACACAGAGAAACTCTGTCTGGGATAAAAAGAAAAAAAGGGGAGGGGGAGGGGGAGGGAGAGAAAATGCCCTATAGCCAGACACTATGGAGGCAATTTTCTCAATTGAGGCTCCTTCCTCTCTGATGTCTCTAGCTTGTATCAAGATGGCACAGGACTAGCAGTTACCTTGGTCATGGTGTATCATCACTGCAGTAGAAAAATAACTAAGACAACAAGGAACCATCACAGAACTGAAAATGTTAAAAAAGAAGACAGAGTATCTCAGAACGTTAAAGGCATGCTGGCTCATGTCTCTAAGTACAACACTCTAGCCTGGTACTAGGGAGGCATTTTCTAGGGAGGACTGCCATAATTTCTAGGCCTGCTGGGCTAGAGTGAGACCCTTCTCCAACAAACACTTAAATATAAATTTACCATATGACTGGCAATTACATATCTGTTAAGTCTACTCAAGGGAACATTTACCTAAAGTCTTAATAGCTAAAACCAAAACAACCACATTGTCCATTAAACAGTGAATAAATGAAGTACGAAATTGCCAAAAATCAAGTATTATTCAGTAAGAAAAAGAAATGCATACTACAACAAGGAGTAACCTCAAAAATATTCTAATTATGTAATAAAAGACCCCCCCCCCACAAATAAGGACCATTAAACAGGCTCAAGGCTTCAAGAAATCTGCTGCCCATGGAATTCCAGAAAGCCAATAACCACCACATACCGTGGAACCTAGAGGTCACAGAAACAATTTGACTTATCACCCAAGGTTTGGAAAACAACTTCCCCAAAACATGACTTTACCACCTACTACTCCCTGCTCTGACTCACAACTACAAACACTTATGCTCAGACCCTGAATGGCATGTTCTCCTGCACCCTTGGTATGGAGATGCCAAGCTCCCAGATCAATAAAAGTCTGCTCTTGTTTGAGGGCAAACTGAAGACGTTATTCTTACATGGAAGACTCAAGCACAGCAGTTATCCACGCTACTGAGAACGAGGGTAGGAAGGAGGATGGTCAAACGCCAAAGCCGAGCAGGGAACTTGGGGGATGACAGTCGTGTTCTAAAACTAGATTGTGAAGAAGGATGTACAACTCTGTAATTTACTTTAAAAAATTATTGAACTGTACATTTACAATGGTTGGATTTTTCAGTATACAAATTACGCCTTTTTTTAATTTATTATTTAGCCTTTATTAATTACACCTTATTCATTTTGTATCCCCCCATAAACCGCTCCCTCCTCCCCTCACCCCCCAAATTACGCCTTTCTTAACATTTGCGTGTATGTGGGGGTGCACATGCCATAGTGCATATGTAGCATGTGCAGAGGTCAGAGGGCAACTTGCAGGAATCAATTCTCCTTTCTATTCTGTTCCCAGGATCATCCTCAGGTAAGCACCTTGACAGCTAAGCCATCTCACTCCCTCACGAATTACACCCGGAAAATAATGATTTTAAAAAAGAAAAAGAAATTTCCAGGAAGCAATACTACCAAGTAAATTACACAGAGTTAAATAAGGAGTAAGACATGTCCCCACAAAATTACACAAAGAAAAAGGGCAGATAGTTGGGATGGTGGTACACACCTGCAATCCCAGGGAGGGAGGCTGAGAAAAATCAGCAGTGTAAGGCAAGCTTGGCTATCCCAACACGCGCACGCACACACGCGCACACGCACACTCAAACATCATATCCCAAATTTTAAACTATGCATCCAGACAAACATGGAATACACACAAGAGCCACCTTGCCATTTCTGCTAAAGTGCATCCGATCATCACACACTGAGGAAAATTCTACAAACATTAGGGTTACAAAAGTAAAAGCCAAATGTTTTTTCTTTGGTTTTGTTTCAGTTTTCCGAGACAGAAAAACTGTGTTGGCTGTCCTGGACTCTCTTTGTAGACCAGGCTGGCCTTGAACTCACATCGATCCACCTGCCTCTGCACAGTGATCTACCTGTTTCTGCTTCCCCAAGTGCTGGGATTACAGGCATGCCAAGTGATTTTTGCAGACTAGTGGACCTCTGTTCTGAAGAACACTACTGATGCAACTGGCAAAAAGCATGCAGCTGACAACTGCACAGTCTGTGCTCAGCAATGTCACTCCCTGATGGTTCGGGCTGTACTGTGGTCACATAGGATACTGTCCTTGTCCTGAGATATTGGAGAAGAGATGAAGTAACAGCATGCTGGCAACCTGATCTCACTGTTTCTAGAAAAAGCCCTTCACGTTCCGCTTGCTTTATGGTTTGGATATGCAATGTCCCCCAGGCTGTTGTGTTGGATAGTCCCTGCTGGAAGAGTAACTCTGGGAGCCTGTTAAGACCCTGTAGGGGGCATGAGGTCACTGGGGCGTGACTCTGAAGTGCCTGGATGGGAGGTGGAGAGCCTCCTTCACATGCTCCAGCAGGATGGACCAGCACTTAGGCACACCAGGGAGCCGAGACCAATCCTCAAGTTGTTTCTGTCAGGTGTTTGGTCACAATGACACAGGACAAATTATAAATCTGAGACTTCAAAACACAAAGGGTTTCCTGAGACAAAGTCTCACTCTGATTCAAGCCGGTCATGAGGAGGTCCAGGCTGGCTTTGAACTACAGACATAAGCCACCACACTCTAAATCAAAACAAATTTTAAATGGTCAAACATAAATTTTGTTTTAGGAAAGAAAAACAAAATACAACCTCCAAGTCATTGCAGAAGATAAAACAACATCTCATTTAGTCTGTTAGGACAAGACCCTAGACAGAATCCCAAGTTAGAAAGCATAAAGTGTGACAGAATAAAATTAAAAATAAAGGCAATTGGGTTGGAGAGAAGGCTCAGAGGTTAAGAACACTGGCTGCTCTTCCAAATGGTCCTGAGTTC